AATTCTCCCACATGAAGTCTTCTGTTTGTAAGGCAGTGGGTTCATTCTCTGATCTTTACTCTTAGAGATTTTATATTTGGAGAAATATTGCTCTTCTGATAACCCTGCATATCTTCTTTATTCTCTCACAGCCTCACCTCTAAGCAGAATTCTTACGTTTCTGTGTTTCTATAATACATGTTTGGATTTAAAATACAGTCAAATCCCTCAGGGACAATTTCAAAGGAGAAAAAAGGAAGGGGGAGGGGAGGGAGAAAATAAAGAAAACTAAAGGCAGAGAGAGAAGATCATGGGGAATTGGAGGTAAGCGTGGTAGGTTGAACTACTGCTTAGGCTGAGCTATGCAGCACTGACTTTCTTAGCATCTTCTGCAGTTAAGCTGTTTCTGACATCTAATCTAACCCACTGCCACCAACTTCCACAGGACAGTGATGGGACCTTGAGAGATAACCTTTGTATTAGGCTGCATCATTATCCAGAAACCGGAGCGGACTGACTTAAAATGTCACTCCCAAAATAGAGCCACTGTCAGGCAAAATAGTACAGTCACAAATGGGCATTAATTATGTAAATTAGTGATTATGCTTAGACGTTAAAGGGAAGCGTGTCTTCTCTTTAATATCTAAGCAAAATCACTAATTTACATATAGGAAATGATCTAGATTGCTCCACCTCTAATAGTTAGCTAATATTTACTGAGCATTTAAAAGTGTGTAGTCTTGAGGACTTACCTACATCATCTCATCCTCCACCTACGGCCACTGAGGAAAGTCAGTGCTATTATTATCCACATTTTAAATGAGCAACTGAGATACAAAGAGGTTCAGAAACTTGTTCAGGGTCACAGATCATATGGTAAAGAACAGAGATTTGTACACAGGCTACACTACTGACGATCATGACTTCATGCTATCTCCTATCACACTTTCATTCTCCTTACCTGTGATTTTTCTCTTACTTTGCTGTCCCTCTTCCTCTCCTAGCATGAGCCTTACTCATCTCAGAAGGCTCCAATTTTTAAATACCCTATCCTACCCCAAGAGGCTGAGGCAGGAGCAGTACTCCTTATTATCTACATCTGAATGTATTCTATCCTGCTGCAACTTCCCCTTGGCAGGGCTTCTGTGTGACACTCAGCTGGCTTCTGATCATCTTCCACCTTTAACCAGTGTGATGTGCTCAGAGTATGAAAATCCGCTTTAGTAGATCTTAAATTTCAAAAGCTAAAGACGTTCTTTGAATTCTTTCTCATACAATCGTTCTCTAGATAAGCCAATTTATTTAAGCTTTTTTGATCTCTATTTTCTCATCTGGTAAATGGAACTAGTATAATGCCTACTGCATAAAGCTGTCATATGGACCAAAAGAAATGAAGCCAGAAAAGTGTACAGACATATCCAATGTAAATTATCATATCTAAATAAGCTGTAGATACTATTATCATCATAACTTATTAGGGAAGGTTTTTAATCTTCATTTGGTAGAGGAAGAAACTGAGATCTAGAAGGAAAGTCTTGCCTCAAATTATACAATTAGTGCATGGCAGAGGCCAAAGCAAAGCAGGCCTTTCTTTGAACAAGTGTTACCTGAACATTTACTATGTGCCAGGCTCTGCAGTACATGCCATGGACACATAGATTAATTTGCACAATGCAACCTTTTATTAAAATGCATAATTCCAGTATGGTATATTTCTCTAAATATTCATGAATATTCCTAAAGGAAAAAAATGCTAAGGTTCCTAGAGAGATGAATTGTCATCTCAAGGTCAAATGATAGATGATAGATAGTGTCTACAAAATAATAACTTAGACACTCTGACACCTAAGCTGTTACCCATTCCTTTCCACTATGCTGCCTTTAGCTGAATATAATTAGAAAAGCGTATCTCTAGAAAAGTAACACTCATTATACAATGTATTCCAGCATTAACCATAAATTATTTTCTTCATCAGTGCAGGAAATTGGGTGTTGACTGTGTTTAAGTTAGAAAAAAATAAGAGTTGATTTAAATTCTACATGAGAATATTATTTAGAAAGAGGCCTTGGTAAAAAGAGCCAACGACTAAGATTTTATAAAACATGGTTCTTGTCCAGTCAGCTCCTCACTATGTTGCCTCCTCCTATGTGGAATGGCCACAGTTTCATTTCTGGTGCTAAGAGAGTGTATGTATATGCGGGGAGTCGGTGGGTCAGACAGTTGGCAGTGGAAAGGTGGCCAGGAGGTTTATATGTTGCCTTTCTTGCCAGTACTGTCTTTATAATAATGTTATTTTACTTTTTTTATACTTAGTTCCTGTAAGAGTCACCACGTAAAACAGAATGTTTATACCCAAAGAATGAAGAGGATGAAAGAGGACTCATCCATGTCCACTGGAAGATACTGTTCTCAGGATTCCTGGGCTGAGGCTCAGATTCCTGGAAAAGGAACAGAAAAAGTAGGAGGTGGCTGGTACTATCACAGCTCCACGAGTAAACCAATAGAAGGCCTTTATCTCTCCCATTACCACTTCTAGTTCTGGCCCTGCAGATCTGGTTTTGAACAGATGAGAATGAAGTAGCAAGCAGAGATAAAGTAGAAAAAAGTTGACCCCAGACTACATAAGACAAAGGAGAGGATAAAAAATTGAAATATAACAGAGACTGGTATCTTGGGAGTGAGAGGTCATGCATTATTAATAATAGCAGTAGCTGCCATTTCCAGTGTCCACCAGGTGTCAAGCATTGTTCATAAGTTGTTCTAATAGTTATACAAAGTTAAATACTACACCTGCATTTTAGAGATAAGAAAGTAGAGACTCAGAGAGGTTAAGTAAATTACCCAAAGATAAACATAAATATCAGAGCCAAGAGAGAGATACAGTCATGTCTGTCTATGTTTAAAGTCTATTCACTTTTTACATGGTATGCTGGGATATGGCTATGGAAGGATATAGAAAGCTGAGAATGTTTACATCAGCTAATGCCTTTATTCCAAACTCCAATTATGCAGTTTCCTCCTCTGTAAAACAAAGAGATTGAAGTCCCATTTGGAAGCATGATTTTGATCAAACGGAAACTTAACATCTTCTAACGTCTGCCTTGGCAAAGCACACATCATAATAACTCAAAAGTAACCTCATTTAATTCTCTGTGAATTAAATCCCCCTTTAAGAAACAGGATAAATAAGATAAGCCTGATAGCCTTGGTTAAGAATCTGCAATTGAAGATAAATAATTGTAAGTATAAAAAAAATTTTAGTTTCTTGAGAGCTATGAAGCTTAAGAACTATAATACAGTCAGATCTTTATGTGGAGTGGACTGACAATAAATTATGGAAGGGAACAGTTGGGAGGAATTTTTCAAGGTCATTTTTTTCTGATATATCTACTTCACCTTCATGCCCTCAAGTAATCTTCCAGGCTCTGTTAAACATGTTCAGAAATGAGGAACTCACCATTTTCAGAAACTTCTTTATTGAGCTCAACTCTGTAAATCATAGAGAATATAATGGCTAATTTTTTTAATTTAAGAAACGCTATTCATTTGGCACTGTCTCTGGTCTCCTGACAAGCTGAAATAAAGGGGAGAAAAGGCCCAAACCTTTTGGTGGAGTATTTTCAACATCACATGTAATCAGAATAATTAATGCAAGTGCAAATGTGATACTAGTTTCTGGAAACGTTTATCTTATGAAATGAATAAGAATTGCAATGGCAACGTTTGGCGTTAAAAGGAAAGGATAACAAGTCCTTCTTTCTTCCTTCCTTCCCTTCCCTCCCTCCCTCCTTCCCTCCCTCCCTCCCTCCTTCCTTCCTTCCTTTCTTTCTTGATAGGATCATCTAACTCATTTGGCATTAGATATTTTATGACATTTATCAAAGGTATTCTTTTTAGACTCTAGCCTTGAAAAAATTGGTTGTTTGGGCAAATTGATTTGGTGGAAAGGAGGCATTATCAAATGGCTGGTTTTGTAAACAAAAAATACTAGAGGATGTAGAAGAAATGACTGTCTTGTGTACATTGTTGGATCATAGGCTACATTTCTCCCCATACCATTATGATATACTCTATGGTGCCCCCACCTGCAATTCACCTGTATAACCTCATATCTTATCACCATTATGTGAATTATCTGTTCACATTATTCTTGATTTTCGATCAGCCTAAATTATTTTTAGTTCCCATACTTCACGCTCTTTCCTTCCCCATTCCAGACCACTTATCTATTCTCCATAACAGTCAGTGTAATCTTTTAAAATGAAATGCAATCAGAACACTTCTCTGTCTAAACGTATTAGGCTTAGGTTTGAGTCAAGGTCTTTAACCTTTGATTGACAGGGCTCTGCCCAAATGGGTTTTACCTTCATTTCCACTTCATTTTGTACTATGTTTCCTGGAGTTCCCTCCTCCACCTGCACTGACCTCGAGTGTGTCTCCTTCCTCCCTCAAACATCCTTCAGGTCTTTTCTCAGAAAGTATTCTCCCAAAGCACCCTGTCCTTCACCCATCTTAAAACTCATGTGCTGCATCTTAGCAACCTGTAGGCTTAAGCTTCCCTCCTACTAAACTGAAATCCCTCTAAAGGTATAGATCATGGTTTGTGCACTCCTGTATCATCAGGCTTAGCAGAGTTCATCTGGCACTAACAGAGCCTCAAAAATTATTTAGACACAAATGATTGGGCTATAGAGTACAGTGCTGTCCAGTCATTAGACACTGGGATGCCAGCTGTTTAAAGAAAAAGTATTTAAGGCCGGCAAGACCAGCCTGGCCAACATGGTGAAACCCTGTTTCTACTAAAAATACAAAAATTAGCTGGTATGGTGACGGGCGCCTGTAATCCCAGCTACTTGGGAGGCTGAGGCAAGAGAATCGCCTGGTGAAAGATTCTCCCCCTGGCCAGAAAGCTTGGGGGAATAACTCCTCCCTCCTCGGTCCCAAGGCGCCGAGACCACTTGCGCCTGCAGCCTACGTCAGCAGCGGGCGTCAGCGAGCGAGCAGAAGCCGGAAGAGGGCTGGCCGGAAGACAAGTACCCCCTGAAGGTCGAAAGAGATGCCATCTGGGTACCATGTAGCAGTTACGTCAGACTGGGATACTTCCTGTTTACAGGAGACTATAAAACCCCTGCCTCGCCCTCATCTGGGGCTGATGCCATTTTAGGCCTCAGCCTGTTTATATCCAGACGTGGCGTGTTGCTCCACACTGCCTTGTGTTGTTTGTTGGCGTGCTCTCGGGGTTCAAACCAGTAATAGTGAGAGACAGAGCCTTGCAGCTTGAACCTGGGAGACGGAGGTTGCAGTGAGCTGAGATCGCACTCCAGCCTGGGCTACCGCGTGAGACTCCATCTCAAAAAAAGAAAAAAGTAAGTTTTGCCTCTTAAAAAGTGCATCTGTGCTTGTGGCAGTAAGCGTGTTTGTGTTTGTGTCAGAAGTAAGCTCATATTGACTGCAACTTATGCCATGACATCAGCACCAATGTCTACTACAAAGCAAAAGCAGGGAAGAGGCTGCTCAGCATGTCTAAAGGAAGATGGCCTGTGTGGTTCTGTTTTAACCAGATTGATCCATTTGTTGGGCATCACGTAGATGCTCAGGATGTCTCCCAGAGATTAGTTATGGTGTCTTCATTTGCTTTTCAGTATGTGAATAGCTCTGGCAGTGCTTGGCAGGAGGTATCCTTTTCACATTCTCCCTGAGGTAATAAAAATGGAAAAACCTTTTTAGGGAAGAATGTGGATGAGAAATGATGTTTTCAAAATGAAAACATATTCTCAGTTCATACCACACTCTCTGAAGATTGCGCGTTCTAGCCTGAGAATGGGGGTGGGGGATGGGTAAGTGGAAGCTGATGCTGATATGGCATTTGTGTTACATAAATCCTCTCTCCCTGAAATAATATATTAGTCCAAGTAGGTGTTTGACCCCAGTGGATTAATGCTAATTCCTCTCCCAGGAGTTTGGAATTTGCATTTCAAAATGCTGGTCATATTTTCGTTTTGTTTGAGTTAAGGGGTTACAGGGCAACCATTTCACATCATGGGCAGAGAAAGAAGGGGAAGCCAGTCAGCCAAGGGGAACGAGTGAGACAAAAGAGAGGAGAAGTGATGAAAGATGATATGGTTCTGGAGAGGCTGCGACAGGTCCACAGACAAATGGGCCTTGGCTGCCTCAAAGCATTATATCCATTTGCTTATTTCCATCCTTTTTAAGACTAGACTGCTCATGCTTCTCCAATAGATTCCTTCTTCCATCTAAGTTGCTCTTTTGACTTAATATAGTTTGAGTAGATTTTCCTTACTTGAAACCAAAAGTACTCGAACTAGGCAAGTATTTTATAGTAATACTGAGTCTCAAGGCATTGAAAAATGACTTTAATAAATTAAAAAAAAAATAGAACAAAGATCTATAGGGATGTAAAGGAAGAGACATTGGGTTGACAGGAGGTGATCTTAGGTTCAGCAAAACTGACATGCAAACCTTCCGTTCTTCCCTAGCCGAGAAAAAAATCGATGTGCACAGAATAACCAGGCACAGTGGTGTGCACCTGTAGTCCTAGCTACTCTGGGGGAGGCTGAAGTGGGAGAATTGCCTAATCCCAGAGTTTCAGTCTAGCCTGTGCAACATGGTGAGACCATCATCTCTCAAATAGTTAAAAATTAAAGTGCACAGGCTGCCTGACATGGTATTTGTTTCTCCAAATTGTCATAGAGATGTCAGCAGGTGACTTGAAAGTAATGCTTCAAATTGTGTAGAAAATCAGATTATTCATTATTTATTGGTTAAATTACTAAGAGAAGTACTTGTCTCTTAGGCCCCAATACTTCATTTTTCTGGCTAATCTTCACTATTTTTCATTCACAAAGGATTTTTGTTTTAGGCGCTAAAGTCAGAGTCACAAAGTTTTGCAGTAAATGAGGTGTGAAGATACTTGTACCTCAGAAATAAACCCTAAAGTCGTGTAGATATAAGAGGTGTAATTGTGAAGTAATAAATCTGTCTGCTTCCCCGGGTATAGTAGCTGGTTCTATGGTCTGGTCTCAGTGCTATCTTCTAACATTTTGAGTGAATACCAGCATAATTGGCATGAGTGTAAAACTAGGGTAACTATTTTTTAAAAAGAGTTATACTTAAAATGTATCCATGCAGTAAATTTAATGAAGATATAATAGACTCACCATACCTCATAGTTAACCTTGAAATGCAGACATTTCCCATGAGGTTCTGTTAGCCCTACTTGTAAGTAGTTAATGCTGGTAATGGCATCAATAGTGACTGCCATTATTGGAGAGTGTACTTTGTGTAGGCTATGTGCAAAGGGCTTCATAGTTAGTTTATTTAGACTTTTCAGCAACCTTTGATGGTTTTAAAAACATAAAGTTGAAAAAAAAAAACAGGGCATAGATTTGTGTGTGTGTGTCGGGGGTTCCAGATGGAAATAGATACCTAAATTATAGTTTTGCTGTTATGGTTTAGCTCTGTGTCCCCTCTCAAATCGCATCTGGAATTATAATCCCTAGGTGTCAAGGGAGGGACCAGTGATCCCATGTTCCAAAGGAAGGAGGTGATTAGATCATGAGAGCAGTTTCCTCCATGCTGTTCTGATAGTGAGTTCTTACCAGATCTGATGGTTTTATAAGTGTTTGACAGTTCCTCCTTTACATGCTCTCTCCTGCCACGAAGAAGGTGTCTGATTTCCCTTCAGTCCTGATTGTATGTTTCTTGAGGCCTCCCTGGGGAACTGTAAATGAATTAAACCTCCTTTGTTTGTAAATTATCCAGTCTTGGGTGGTATCTTTATAGTAGTGTGAAAATGGACTAATACACTTGCCTTTGGCTTTAATTTAGTAGGTATACCTGGACAATCACATTATTTCTATTTGCCCATTTCTCTCATTTGTAAACTTGAAATTTGAATGTGCATGGTCTTGTTTTAAGAATCAAAATACACAATAATTATATATTCTTAATCTTCATATTTTTTTCCCACATGGAGTGACGATCATTCACAAACCATTGGAACCTTCTATTGAGAGGATTCCAAAGTGTTTTTTTCCTCTGCCACCTTCCCCCACTCAACTTGCCACCCTTGCCTTACACCGTTAGGAAGTATTATTTTATAGGGAAACTGCACTTTCTTTAGAGGGTTAATGGAAACTTTTGTAGCATAAAATTGTACAAATGTGATTGAAATAAATTGAGCATTTAAATCAATAACAACAAATCATTAGAACAGCTGGTAATTAACCTTTCATCTCTGGAAAGGATTATTTAGACAGCAATGCAGGGCAGCATCTTGTATACAAGTGTGTGTTAGTAGAAAACCTGCTGGTCCAAACACTGTTTTAATCATGATTTAGAAATATGAAATGGAGCATAATTTAATTTTGAAATTGATGCTTTTCAGATGCAAAACTTCCAAAGGTAACTGAAGATAACAATGTAGCATATTCTATTTACATAGCAGTGCTCTTCTCTAGATTACAATGGTTTCTATAAACATAATTCATTTTTCTCTGAATGACTTGGGCAGGAAAAAATAGAATTTGAGAAATGTAAAATATATCATGTCTTTTTAAATATGAAAAGACAAAAGTACTCTTCCAAGGAAGGAACAGGGGAAGGAGTTACCATTTTTCTCAGATCAAATAACCACCAAACCATTAGATAGGTCTTGATGGTTTTTTTGTTTAGTTTTTGTTTGTTTTGTTTTCAGAGATGGGGTCTCACTCTATAACCCAGGCTGGAGTGCAGGGGTATGATTATAGCTCACTGCTCCATGCCCAGCTAATTAAAAAAAAACTGTAGAGATGGGGTCTCGCTTCATTGCCCAGGTTGGTCACGAACTCCTGGGTTTAAGTGATCCTCCTGCCTTTGCCTCCTAAAGCACTGGGATTACAGATTTGAGCCCCTGTGCCTGGCCAGTTCTTGGTGTTTTCAACTATTTATCTGCCACCTCTAGGGAGATCTCAACAGAGTTCAAGTTATTTGAAATAAGCTAGACTTTAGCAAAAGGCAATAGGTCTTTAGTATAGATCTAAGAACATAGCCTCAGCAAGATAAAAAAACTGGTATAATCCTTTGAAGGCAAATGATAGGACAGATAACATTCTTTGGTCAATTATTCACTCAGTAAAATTACTGAAGACCTAATATGTGTGTAGCACTTTATGAGATACTAGAAGAACACAATAACAAGTTATCTGTTTTCTAAACTCAAGGAACATGAAAGCTAATAAGAGATATAGGCAATTCATAACTGCCGTAATAGATAATCACTGGATCAAAGTAGTGTCATATGGAAAAGAACATGCCATTCAGTCTTAGAATGTCAAGAGTGCCCACTTGTAAAGAGCATCAGTTAAGCCAAGACCTAAGGGGTAAGTAGGAGTTGCTGGGGCAAGAAGGGAGGCATGACTTTGTGCTTAAAAGAATATAAAATGCAATAAAAATGAGAGAAAAATGAATTCAATAAAGGGAGAGCACAAAGATAAGGCAAAAGAGATGAGTAGCAGCCATATTTTAAAGCACCTCATTTGCCCTGTAAAAATATTTAAGATTAGGCTTACCTATTTTATTTTATACTCTCGAGTCTCTGCCCTTTAGCCCCTTTCTGGGTAGTTTTAGCTGCATCTTTAGGCAGCAGATGTATTTTCCAAATCCATCTCCATATCTTGCCTAGAGCCATGCTGTCAAATTCTCTGCTACATGTTTGTGTTAGCACTTCTGTACCCTATCCAACAACTGTTTCAAGTGTGCCAAAGTGGTTTTATTTCCAGTGTTGTCCATTCTTGATCCATTGGGGTAACCAATAAAACCATTCCCTTGGTTGTGTCATAGACATTTTAGGTTGGTAAAATAGCGCCAGTTCATGAATGTATCAATGTCACTGAAGATTTTTCCTAAGGGCCTATGGAAATCATTTATAAATACAAGCCAAGAATGGACACTTTTCTGATATAAGCCAAAATAAAACATCCCATAGAGAAAATGCAACAGATTCCATAACATCAAGGTACAAATTTCTGCCCTAGTGGAGAAGAACAATTACACCTCTTTATGATTTATAAACCAGCTTCAACTGGTAGCCTTTGAAAACTTTCATTTGCATTAAAAACATGATATTGTAAGATTGTTTTAGATCCATCAAAATTCTTAAAAAATTGTGTGTATAAAGATATTACCTGAAGGGCTCAATTAACTAGACTAGGTCTAACTATCATTTTACTTTTCTTGAGGTCAGCAGCTAGGAAGGTAAATTCTTTATATCTTATCCAAAGGACAGGAAGCGTTAAAAGAAAAGAAAGAAGTTCTGATAAAAGCATTATGATTTTCTCTAAATGGCTTCTTCACAATTCTCATAAGT